CTTGGTGTTGTCGTTGTCACCGAGGGTCTCGTCGCACAAAGAAGATGGTACAACTGCCTTTGTCAGAGCGCAAGGCAAGAACAACACTTCGACGCAACCAGCTTCTGCCAACGTTATTCCCATGCAAATGAGCTGTACATAGATCTATACTGTATCAGCATCTCAATAGCCTACACGACTTGGACGTGATGCGGTGGTGTTTCGTTGTTTTCGGTCACGAAGCCAGCTCCTGCAAACGCTTCACGTCGCGCTTCGATTCTTGAATAAGTACATCAATCATTTTCCTATCCTCTACAGCCTGGCATGCCAATAAATCCCTTTTAAAATCGTGTTCGAATTCCATTTGCGAAAATACGAACATGGAGCAACATCAAGAGGCAGTCAAGAGGGTGGCGGAGAGAGTCAAGTCATTCCACGAGCGCCAGGTCCCCTTCCGCGTCTATCACGGCTCGACAAACAGCACACGGCACGTAGGCTACGACGCAGAAAAGGTCGTCGACACGAGCGCCCTCTCGCACGTCATCTCCATCGACTCAACAGCATGCACAGCTATCGTCGAGCCCAACGTGCCCATGGACAAGCTCGTCGCGGCCACGCTCGCGCAGGGCTTCGTTCCCCAGGTCGTCCCCGAGTTTCCGGGCATCACGGTCGGCGGCAGCTTCTCAGGCACGGCGGCCGAAAGCTCGTCGTTCAAGTACGGGTACTTTGATCGGAGCGTCAACTGGGTCGAGATGGTGCTGGCGACGGGGCGCGTCGTCACGGCCTCGCCGCACGAAAACGCCGACCTCTTTTACGGCGCTGTCGGCGCATGCGGTACCCTCGGCGTGACGACGCTCTTTGAGATCAAACTCATTCCTGCGGCAAAGTACGTCCAAGTGACGTACGTGCCCGTGTACTCGACGAAGGCGGCGCTCCAAGAGATTGACCGGCGCACCAAGGAACCCTGGGACTACATCGATGGCATCCTCTACTCAGCAACCCTAGGCGTCATCGTCCTTGGCCGCATCACGGACGGGCAAGCAGCGCTCCAGGAGGGCGTTGCCGTCCGCCGCTTCGCGCGCGCTCGCGATCCCTGGTATTACATGCACTGCCACAGTCAAGTAGCGCACCAGCGACACACGCACTGTGAGACGTGCATGTTCGCGGGGAGCCGCAATCCCCTGGAGGCGGCCGTGGACGATAAGCCAGCGACTGAACTGGTCCCCATGCACGACTACTTCTTCCGCTACGACCGCGGCGCCTTTTGGATGGGCAGCTTTGGATGGCCGCCCAAATACTTCAACCGTCTGACGCGCTTCCTCACCGACCACTTGTTCCGCACCCGCCAGATGTACAAGGCCATGCACCTCAGCAATCGTGCGCAGCAGTTTATCGTACAGGATCTGGCGTTGCCGCGTGAGAGCGCCGAAGAGTTTCTCACTTGGTCGTATGACGCTTTGGCCCTTTTCCCGCTGTGGTTGTGTCCGGTCGACGCAAAGACAAAAGCGATGTTGCACAAGGCCAAGGTGTTGTCCAGCAGATTGCAGCCTGCGAGCGGGAATAACGAGAAGAGCTTTAGAGAGCAGGGCCAGATCACCATCAACGTCGGCCTGTGGGGCACCAATCAATCGTACCCCGTAGTGCGGAAGAATATGGAGGCAAAGTGGAAATGGATCCCACAGTTGTTCCAGCAGACCGTCGCGGACAATCGCGCCATCGAGGCCAAAGTGTATCAGCTGGGCGGATTGAAGTGGCTGTACGCCCACAACTACTACACCGAGGACGAGTTCTGGAATGTCTACGACAAGCAGAGGTACAGCCAGTTGCGGGCCAAGTGGGATGCTGGAACACTGCCGACGTTGTGGGACAAGATGAAGAACACTCAGACCTATCAGAAAGATGGGAACTTTGCAAAAGCTGCATTCATGACGTTCTTCGGAAGGGAGCATTTGTTGAAGAAGAAGAAGGCGAAATGAGGGCACATCAAGAAAGGAAGAAGGCCGAGACGGGATTCTTCTAATAGTCGGAGAGCAATGTTGATACCTGAGACTACCCTGTGCTATGCAAAGGCCAAAGCTTACGTCGACAAGCTTAACCCGAAGCTTGCCATCAATGCAAAACATACACACTTCATTTCTCAGTTTGTGCATCCCGAAATGCCAGTCAATTCCGGGGGGCATTCGACTTGAGCGTAGTTGACCTTTTTCATGTTGATGTTTCCTGAGACTCAAGTTAGCTTCGCACATAATACCCCTGAGTCACCAAACTTACCTCCACCCCATGTCCAGCGCCATTTACATCCCTCTTGAAGACTCGCGGGCAGCTGATTACAGGCTTCTGGAGACCGTACGCCGCCGTACTGCTTGCCCCAGCCCTTGTTCGGCGCGCCGTACTGCTTCGAACAAGCGTCGGCATAGTTGCCAACACCTCCACCCGGCTGCACAGAACTCGTTAACCTCAACCCCAGACCATATCCGCAGACAAACACTCACGGTGTAAATATCAAAATCGTCCGGCGACGGCAACCCTCCAGAGTTGACAGCCTGGACGATCATCGACTTGCCCTGCGCCGGCCCGTCCGTCCACGTAAACTGGTAGCACTTGCAGCAAACGTCGGCGCTCTTGGCGCCATGTCCCGCAAAGCCGTACGCGAACGTCTCGTTGACGACCTTGGGCTGGAAATCTGCGCACGAATACGCCGTGCCGCCCTGACACACGCCCTGCGCGTTGACGTCTTTGAGCGGCGAGTTATCCTTCGTGCATGCCTTGACCGACCCCTTGGCCCCGGCCTTTTTCGCAATCGATGGCCAGCCGCACACCGGTTTGCAGCAGTCCCATGTTGTTGTCGTTGTGCTGTTGGCGGTGCGTTAGAGGGAGTGGGATGGATGCGTGGTGCATGGGGTCGGGGAGTTGATGCGCTTACCCTGGTTTGCCTTGCGACTTGACCTGGACTCCTTTGCCTTGGTTTGTACCCCCTGGCCCACAGAGCCCTCCTGGCGACGGATCGCCCACATCTTTTTGACCCGCGGCAGCTGCGTACGTTCCGACAACTGTGACAAGTACCAAAAGAATGAACCTCATATTGGAGAAGGAGCGACAAGAACTGTGCTAACACTGAAGAAGCTGTAAAGACAGTGGTGTGTAGAAAAGCCTTAGAATTGGGCAATAATGATGAGGTCAGTGCGTCTAGAAAAGCGTTCAGTAGACCTGCAAGTGATCTCCTTATAGGTCCCTTGGCGTAAGTCTTAGTAACATTGGTGTGGCTGAAGAGAAGTGTTTCGAGGCACGCCGCAGCCGTTTTGGCTAAAAATCTTACCGAAAGTGGCATGTTGCCCGCACTGCCTCTGTCGACGCGATCAAGTACAGCATGGAACCTCTACCCTCGCTCGAAGGAAAAGGGGATCGGCGCCTTACAATGCAGCAAAATCATAAACCCAGTTGAAAGTTTCTAGTCGATGGACGAGGATATCCAGTGGCGGAGCATGACGCGCAGTTGATCAGACACAACTGTGAACGCTTGGTTGATGGTTCGTTTCTTCTCGGGTTTTGTGGACCAGGTGTGCTCGCCTGTCCATTTGATCAACTGACGCTGATCATTGTTATACCACCGTCTTCTCGGTGTCTGCTACAGCAATCAAACGCTTCCCCATATTCCATCGTTTGGGCTCTGGGTCGAGGCTCTCGCACCTCACTCTCCGTTGAGGCGCATCGCAGCTCTCGCAGATTTAACGTGTTGAGTGAAGGGGATCATGTTGAGCGTTTTTTGCATCGGAATTGAGATAGTTTACCTTTGATTATAACCGATTTTGGCTGTGAAGAACGGGATACGATAATTTTACGACGACTAAAGGCGGCTCGGACCCTTGAAACTGTGTTTCGATTTAGCTTACATGCATGATCCTTTCTCGTTTCGATCCATGACGTCAGCCTTGTTCATGTGCCGATCCAGCGCGGCAGTTTGTTGGGGCATCGTGACGTCGGACTGGGCAACATAAAGAAGATGGTTGGCGCTGTCGCTGCCGTCCAAAGAACCTGCTCCGGGAGATGAGGTGAATTGCCGGGGGCGTGGGATGTTGCGGAGCAAAGAGCGCGGGTTCAACCGCCGTCTAATGATGGTCGCCTGAACGCTTAATTGGAGTCGATCGATTAAGCTGGAGGCTGACGTAATGCTGGATAACCCCAGCCACTGCGGCGGTACGTCTCTACTGGGCGGCAGAAGATCAACAGTCCATCAGGACCAGGTAATGGAGAGTTGCAGAGAATCGTGAGTGGAACCGCCCGGAGCAACGGTTGGAGCTTCCGGACTTGAACTCCTTCAACCCCTGCTTTCTGCCCCAAACCCCCATATTTATTTTACTGTTGCTTTGTCAACACCCCCAGCACCTCATGACCACCGGCCAAGTCTCCGCGACGGGTCCGCTAGTTTGGTGGGGAAAAACCCCTAGCAAAATTCCATTAATACCATACCATCCTCAGCCAAAGTCCCAATCAACTAGCCAGCGTGAACCACACGGCCCTGTCTATGCGGGGGAAAATTGACAGGCGAACGAGTCGTCGGATGAGACGGGCCGCGAAGACCCTCGAAGATATTGCTCGTTTAATGGTACCAGGGACGATCAGGGACGACCAAGGAAAGCTGTGAATCAACCGCAAAGCTGGCTGGTTGATGGGCATAGTAAGTTTGGTGTCTTTCTTGCGAATCTCCTCTTCTTTTTTCATTTTTTTTTTTTTTCAATGAAAATAATGCGCAGCGATTCAGCCGATTTCAATTATTGTAGTCATAATAAGATGGAATAGGCCCAGTATTTGCGCTTCCACCGGATTGCTCAGGCTTCATCGCGTTGAGAGCTCAACATTGGACTTGGTGGGCCATCTGTGTTGTGAAGGAGGAACGGAATCAGTTGTTGTGCCGTGGACCCCGTATGCGAAAAATGTCCGTGCGATGAGGGAGAAACTAAGCTGGACGGTCACGTGATTGAAATAAGATCATAGCTTTTGTCAATGATGAAAAGATCGACATCGGGCGGTTGGCGCAATGGTAGCGCATTGGTTTTCGGCCTCAGCTACATCACCAAAGGTTGTGGGTTCAATCCCCATGCCGCTCGTGTTTTTTGCCATTTTGTTTTGCTGTTCATCATGCAGAGGGGCTGCAGCTGCTGCTGTGCGTCCAGCAAAGTGACGTGTGTGTTTTGGGGGGTGTCAGTGGGTTGCGGAAGAAGCCGAAGCCTACGTCGTGCAAGATGCTGTGGCGGTCGGCTGCAGCGGGACGTCACATCAGGAGGACTCAGTCAATCTGACCAAACGAGCCGTCGTCATTGCCTGCGAATGGATCACTTTGTTGGACGACAAAAGCATGCAGAGTGACTGATCCGAACTTATTCATTTGTTTTCCAAACACACTTGGGCCAATGGGCCAACAACAGTCCTGTCTATCGCACAGGCTCGTCGTCGGGCCCCCATCTGCTCCGCTTGTTCGCTGGGCAAGACACGGCGTTGCCCTCATGCCGGCGACCCGGGAAAAACAACGCTGAGCCAGGCAATGGCAAAGCTGGCAAGCCCTAACCCACTCGCCTTTCCCTTCGCATCCCCTGCCATCATTGTCGCGTCTTTTCTCATGCAGGTCGTAAGGAAAAATGTAAAAAGCAATAAACACAAGAGCAAGAGTACTCCAAACAGTCGTGGTAATCCAAGTGTACAACACGTCGCCCCATGGAGGACTAGAGAGGATCAATGATCCAGGCGACTGTGCAAAAAGAGCAAAGTATGACATAATTAAGAAGGAAACGCGTAGAATCCGAGAGCGAAGCCAAACCCCGTCTGAGTGTCCGAAAAGAGAAGAACCGAATGCATCAGCCCCATGAGGGAGATGCTGTGATAGTAATAGACTGATCCATCTGGGGCTCGTGTTGTTGTTGTTGTGATTGTTGGCTTCGATGATCGTGATGGTGGTGGTGATGGTGGCGATAACGGTGGCGATGATGGTGGACGTGGTTGCGGCTGCCATTGGGGGCATTGGTCTCGAGTAATCGACTTCGACGTATTCTTTGAATCGTTTAGGGGGCGGGGCACGTTGTAGCCTCAGCTGGCCCATCGTCGTTGTGGAGATTGACCCAGCATTCGTTGCGTGGTCGGTGGCCATGATACTTGCCTGGTATGTTCTGCACCTTTTCAGGATCTTGTCTCAAAAGGCGAGCAACAACCGCGACCAGCAAAAGCGAGAAATGAGGGCGACCAAACAAGCGCGACTAGGAGACGTCCACTACCTTGAATCCGACTTCTCGTGCTTCACCTTGACTTTTGGGTTTTGAAGCTTCTCGATCATTTTGCTCGCCTCCTCCGGTGATTCGTGTGAGTGCAAAAGATCTTTGAGTTCCCCGAAGCTGACCGACGCATTCCGTGCCTTCTTGCCAGACATGGCCTCCTTGAGATGAGTCTCGTAATGGGCCTTGCGGTTGTCATTGCGCGAAAATCGCCGTCCGCAACCAGGGACGACGCAAGGGAACGGGCGCTCCTTGCTGTGGGTGTTCTCGTGCCGCTTCAGGTGCTCCGGACGCGCAAAAGTCTTGGTGCAGCCTTCAAATCTGCAGCGCTGCTTCTTTGTTTCGCCAGCAGTGCTACAGTATTTTCCAGACTTGGGATCTTTTTGTATGTCGGATTGAAACTGAATGTCGACGGCGCATCCATCAAGGTTGGCGGTGTAGGCTTCCATCATGCGATTCTCGCATCGGTGTTTGCGCTTGGTGATCCCACTCGGTCCGCTGGGACCAATGCGTCTGTCCTTTTGGCGATGTCTCCTTTGCGGTGAGAGGAGGTCGCTGCGACTTCGGTGGTCGAGGTATGTGTCGTCGACTTCGCGTTTGATGGAAGGCTGCGCGTCCCCCCCCAATCGCCCGTACCTTGAGCACTGAGACGTAGACGAACTGTATCCGTCGTACGAACCAAAGCTGTCTTCCAAGCTTTGATCCGAATTGATCTCGGGGTACGGTGTTCTATTGTCAGTCTCGTGCACAGTGTCTTCTGGATGAACGACGTTGTCCTGGAAAAGCGGCATCTCGAGGTTGGCTCCCACATGAGGCCAAGTATATTCCATGTTCAGACCTCCATTGTTCATGGGAGGTGCTCCGTATGCTTCAGCAGTCATGCCCTGTAACGACAAGGCAGAAGTTGTTGGGTTGTGAGCATTCCACATTTCAGAGTGCGAGTGAAGCTCAGCAGGAGGCAAGAGTGTCCTTTGCGCGGGCGGTATGCTATCGAATGTTGGATACTCCGTGTGCACCGGAAGCAGAGTGTCGCTGTCAGATCCCGTCGGCCGGACGGCCGATGTGTATGCCGGCCCAGGGTCGACCATGACCCAGCTGTTGGACCGTTGTTCGGCCGGTATCCCCGGTATTCGTCCAGGTTTGGCGTGGGGAAAGTCCACGGTGGGTGGCCAAGTATCTTGGCTGTTGTAGTCGTCGGCGTCGTGGTCGTTGGCAGTGTGTGAAGACCCATGGTCAAAAGACATTTCGTTTGGACGAACCATCATCCAATCGCCGTCGCCAACCACTTCCCGGGAGGTATGAGGAGTGGGAGGTAGGTTGGAGTAATAGGCTGAGCTGTTGCTCGAAAAACTGTTGGCACAAGATGCCGAGGACTGCATGGACGCAATGGAATCCCTGCGACCCTCGTAGGCTGTTGATGAGGACCCGGGAGTCAAGTACCCCGAGGGGGTATATCCTGGAGCTGAATGTTGATGTTGGTTCATTTCCATTCCTTCTTTGGCAACAGGCAAGCCTCTGGCCCCCACGTAGCGATCGCGATTATTCCGGAAATCTGAGTGTGAAAAGTCAGCCTTGCGGCATTGATGGATCGACATGGCCATGTCACGGACAGAATGGAGATATTATGGACAGAGGAATGGTGGCCTTTCCGAGCAGAGAGAGAGAGAGGGCCAAAAGGAACGTATGCGGCAGCGTGGTATAAGGAGTGTAAAGACCAGAGAAGGCTGAAGACTAAGGGGAAGGAACCTCGTTCAAGGGTCCCTGGATGGGGTTTTTGAAGGCAACAGACTATTCGGCACGGCCGGCAGCACCGCCGTTGCCGGACGTTGAAGTCATTAAGCACAACTCACCGTTGTACATCGTTGCAATTGGCGCGCTTCTGTGTACGCGACTGCTGGGATGGCCTCGGAATGGTGGCCAAATGTCGCGTCTCGACTTGGACAATCTTCACCAACCTGCTAGGCGCGGCGCTGTGCGAGCCTCGACCGACCAGATGGTGATCGAGATGGAGGGTGGCGCAAGGTGAAGGCTGGAGGCTTCAAGACGCGACAATCTCCCAACCAGATTTCGGATCGTGAATCAGCTGCAAGGGGGCCAGGGGACGTACAAAATTGTGGGGTCTTAGTTGTTGGTGGATATCGGGCCAAGAGAAGTTCGAAGCGGGAAAATTCAGTGCAGGCGGGGTGGTGCGTTTTTTAAGTAGATGAAAATGTAGTCCTGGGCCGTTCGCTTGTTGGTAGTCAAGCCGGTCATAATGATGGAGAGTTGAGGTTGGGACACGTCCAGAGAGTATTGGGCGGGACCTGGTGGCTGCCCACGGATACGGTAAGCTCGATCCAGCTTGGTTGAGCCAACGAACTCGTAGATGCAACGTCCAGTCTGGGTGGGAGGAATGATGCTACCCTAACGTAGGAGGAGCCATGGAAAGCCGCCACAGACTAAAGTTCCTCAACCACGGCACCCGTTCACGCCGTCCAACGCTCGTCCTGGCCTTGGTTCTTTGGAGCTGGATGCAGCTGAAGTTGGTTGACAAGCTCGAACAACTTGGACCCTACCCTACCCAGGCCGGGGCAGCCAACCGAGCAGCAAAAGCAGTGCAGCCGACTGGCTTGCTTGCATATGCAAAGCTTTGAATTACTTGCAGCATCAACCAACGCTCGACAGACAGAGCAGGCATTCCTGACACTTGCAGCTTCCGGAACGCAGATCAGGCCTGGATGGAATGGCACCCTCCTCTTTAAACGGCGCCAAGCCTGCGTGTACGCCGCCGCTGGCTGCAGTCCTTTGGGATGTGCGAAGCAGCCAATCGACACGTCCAGAGCTTGGTGGACCTTTTCCCAAAGCGGGACCAGATGAATGCGCCATTGGGCACCGCCAGCACGGATGGGTCATCTCTTGTCATGGCCGTGGGCGAAGATGAAGGCGACGTGACCAGCCCGGGAAAAGGATCTGGAGTCTGCAATAATGGCAACCGTGTGAAGGTTTTGAACAGAGGCTGGCCGCATTTGGCCCGCGGCGGTTACACGGCATACGATGAGATGCAGGATTGAAATTGCTTTGGCCAGATGAGAATCAGAGGCCAACCGGCTCCAGGTCGGTAGATTCGGCAGTCATTCAGCAGCTTGTGTTTCAAGCGCTGCGGGAGCACAAATGTTCCGGAATGCATGATCTGACGGTATTCCTTCTTCTGCCTGACTGACTGACTGACTGACTGACTGACTGACTGACTGACTGACCGGGAGAGTCGCCAGAAGGCCAGAAGTGAGCAGTCACAAGCAAAGCGTCGGGTTGGACAAATTTCCCGAATGGCGAGCGGCGTCGATTAGACTTTTTTTTTCTTGGCTGTGGTGGTGATGGCGGTGTTGGGTTGTTGTTGTTGGATGATGGACTGGACTTCCTTGGGGCGCCCTGCATGCGGCGCAGCAGCAGCAGCTATGGACCGGGAAGCCGAGCGAGCGCCGGCAGCCCGCAGATGTCAACTTGACCTTCACCAAACGTCCTGCTAACCGCTCACGCCGTCGATACCTCACACCACGGTTGCCCGCGTCTTTCACGTTCTTCGAGTCCGAGCCGACCTCGCGATTCCTGATCTCTCCCGCCCGCCCACGGCACTCTGCCTCTTCGCGACCTTGACGCGTCTTCCATGGCTTGCATCTCGACCTGCCGCCCCATGTGCCACCAGACGCGCTCCAAACATGAACCGAGGAGGAGGCTGGCAAAGCCCTGCCAGGGCGGCGCGTCTGTGGCCACATTGGATTGTCCTCTTCGGGTGATCGACTGAGCTTGACGCCGCGCCGTGGGGGTCCAAAGCAACCCTCCTCCTCATCCACCTCGACCTCCTGCAT